AAAGTCCTTGGTCAGACTAAACATTACTGAACAGCAACTAAAAACATCGGTGTTACCAGCGTTGTTCCCAGGCCGAAAGTCAAGAACACAGCACTGCACCAGCTACTAAGAAGGAGAAAAATGACTGCTACTGCTGGACCCAGGACAGTATCCACCCCTTGTTCCATACCATTCACGTCATGCTCAGATGCCACATTTTCATTATACCATCATTCTTATCTCATATGTATGCATATATATACATCCACACAGAGAAAGAGATAGATCACTCCTTAATGCATGGACTAATCCCTATAAAGCTGATGAGTCCATCTGGTCCATGATGTTGGGCTCCATCTCTTGTAACAGTCTTTCAGAGCATGAGAGAAAGTGTGATGTAGTCACACTCGTGAATAACCTGGACAATAGTGCCCATTGCTAAGTCCACCCCTCGATCATGAGTCCATCTCGATGTTGCATCTCTGCTCTGTTGGCCTGAAGTGCCATGGGCCCCCGAGGCTCAAAATAATTCACCCTCCCCATCAGCCATTTCTGCAACTTGTCACTGGGGACTCCATATAGCTGCCTTCCGTCTCCGACGCTTCCAAAAGCACTGGAGGGGCCCAGTAGACTAGATACTTGCCCATACTGTCCCACACACCCTGCCACTCATGACTGTCCAGCCTGGGGGAAAATCTCTTGGTCCTCCTATATCATAGTCTAATCCTAGACAAGACCCAAACACGACTTTGCTTAACTTTCGAGACAGACAAAATGGTCGTGGATAAAACACACTCTGAATGCATGCCAACACGGTGATCCCCATCACAATCAGCAGGCAGGTCTCAAGGGTACCCAAAGGCCATTCAAAATCTTCAGAACTCTCAAGTGGTGCTACTGTACTTGTCACTGGGGCTGGTGTAGCTGCTGTGCTTGGAGCTGGAGTAGCTGGGCTATCTGTTGCAGTCAGACTTTGAGTAGCTGCCGTACTTGTCACTAGCGTGTGTGGGAATGTCTCCCTCAGAGGCTGACCACCCAAGGAGGGGAAAAAAGATGTGTAATTGCTATACACTTCTATTATATACCTCCCAAAGTACAGAGGTGATGACCACACTGGTCAAAAGTAAAAAACACAGCACTGCACCAGCTACTAAGAAGGAGAAAAATGACTGCTACTGCTGAACCCAGGACACAAACTTATTGCAATATCTGACTCAGCTGACATTCCAGTGATACTTTAATTAATTTATGCATGTTGTAAACTTATGTGGTAGATAAATTAATGTTATTTCTAGAAATACTTCTGGAAAACTCTGCAATACAAAGAAAAGTCCTCTTGAGAACTACTTCAGTGAAGGGTGCCATATGCCAGTAAGAAAGGTAACTGGTAATGTGCTTTACTTTGGGTATTGTATAATAACATTCTTCTATAACAAAATAAAAAAAGGCAGCGACAACACATCCAGCTGTCTCTCTGCTTCTCTTCTATCCAAATGGTGTACCAGTTTTTGTGGCTAACCTGTGACACTGTGATTTCTAAACGGCAATACATTCAAGACGCACAAAGGCATTAACATAACAATTTTAAGAGCAGGGAAAAGAGAAGAGTGAAAGAGGTTAAGAAAGTGATAAATACCAACTTTACAAAATTGGTAAATGCCATAAAAGGCAAAAAGTGTTATCAAAGAGACTGCACCTTTCTGTATAGTACAAAGCTGTATTTTTCACATCAATATTAAATTTTAATGATGTCAGTAACATGTTGGCACGAGCAGAAGGAGCCAATATTCTATGCAGGTTTCAAAAACATTTAGACATTCCTTTCCTGAAGGCCATCTCAAGACTAGCATGAACTCCCACTACAACCAAGGACTGTTTAGGTAAGGGTCACTCCTCCTCAACCTTACAGATGTTGGTACACAATCAAACTTGCTGTCCCAGCACACAGACAATACTCTGGCTTAAAATAGGGCACACCTATTGATAATGCCACTGTCAAAACTGTACTGCAAATGTCTGTAAGTTGAAGCTTAGTGTGAATTTAGAAAAAAAAACCCCAAAACCACGAAGTCAAAAAAACCCCACAAAACCTAACCCCCCCACCAAAAAAAAAAAACCCACCACCACAAACAACCCAAAATCCAACAGAAGGAAAATTCAAGAGCAGCTCCCCATCTTTCTGTTCCTTAGGACTCCTACTGTGACAGACACAAGAGTCCCAGCTTACCACAGCAAAATAAATGGAAAAAAAAAATACTGCAAAATTAATGTATTTCCCTAGTTTTCTGCAAGTCTTTGTTCTTTTCTATCCTGCTTGTTACCAAAGGCAAAGCAATGTTTGTCTGGTGGCGTGTCTAGACTATGCCTAACCTCATTCTCCACAAAGGTACCCAAGTGAGCTCTGAACTCATCACATCCCATCCCAGACCTCTGCTAATGACCGTTGGTGCTCCCCATCTGCAGAACAAGATCTAGATAAACTTGAACTGTACAGTCTGTTTCATTACAAATGTACCTTAAAACTGGCACTAAACACACCTAATAATAGCATGCATCTCCTTATAGTGTATTCTCAAATGCAGTAGCTTTTATAATTAGCTTACATGTCTGCAAGAAACCTTATTGGTGGGACAGGAAGATAATCTCTGTTGTGGAACTGAGCAGGGCTAAAATAAGTTATTTTCCAATATGATCACAGACATTAAGGGAACTGCTGTAATTGCTTCATACTTGGTAGCATGAGCGGGTCACTAACACTGTGTCCATTTCCCCATTCTTAATTGTATTTCTTCATTTTTTTTTCAGACTGCACCCGGGTGCGTTTTTTTGGGTTTTTTTTTGTTTGAATGCTCCTTTGACAGCAAAGAGAGTCTTACTAAAAGCACATTTAGCACATGTGGGAATTTAGCACTGGTTCATTTATTCTCTTTGAAGACTATGGTCAGAGGTCTTTAGCTCCGATGCACTGTGTCCATGTGCATTAATAATAGAGAATTACATTCATTATGCTTCACAGTGTGTGGCACAGAAAAAACACATGTGCATTGTAACCTTGAAAGACTAGTTTTCTTTTTCAGCTTTTTCTGTTTAAATATACTGCAGCTCCAGAAGGAGATGCTTGTATTGATTGCTGCCATTTGAGTAGCAGACAAAATATTTAAATGCTACTTTGTCATCTGAAGAACCTGGAAAAAAAAAGTCTTTGGTTAAGGTTAGTAATTGTTTATGGTAGGTAAAAAACTATCCTTTTCTGCACAAAGTTCTCTGTGTTGGAAAGGCTAATTCAATCACCTGCTGTGAGATTATTTCATATTCACCTGATGCATTATTTTGCAAAAAAAATCCTTCATTTACTGAAAAAAAACATAAAGGTTCAGTTGTCTCAATGATTACAAAACCTTAGTTTATTCTTTTCCTCATAGCAAAATCAAGACGATACTTTACTTCTTCCCACTCATGGTAGGTGAATCCTGGCTGGATGGCAGGTGCACACCAAAGCCGCTCCATCACTCAAACCATAGTAGGATAATAAGAAATAAACCCAAACCTTAATACACTTTCTCCCTACCTCTCCTTTCTTCATGGGCTCAACTTCACTCTCAAATTCTCTACCTCCTCCCTCCTAGCAGCAAGGGGGATGGGGAATGGGGGTTGTGGTCAGTTCATCACGCATTGTCTCTGCTGGTCCTTCCTGCTCAGGGCAGGGCTCCTCACACTCCTCACCTGCTTCCTTGTGGGGTCTTCTCTCCATGGGGCCACAGGTCCTGCCAGGAGCCTGCTCCAGTGCAGGCTTCCCACAGGGACACAGGCATCCCCCTGCTCCAGCACGGTGTCTTTCATGGGCTGCAGGGGGATATCTGCTCCACTATGGACCTCCACGGGCTGCAAGTGGGTATCTGCTCCACCATGCACCTCCATGGGCTGCAGGCGAGCATTTGCTCCACCATGGACCTCCATGGGCTGTAGGCAGGCATTTACTCCACCACGGACCTCCATGGGCTGCAGGCGGGTATATTCACAACCATGGACCAATATGAGCTGCAGGTGGGCATCTGTTCCACTGTTTATCTCCACTGGCTACAGTTGGATATCTGCATGACCATAGATCTCCATGAGCTGCAGGGGGACATCCTGCCTCACCATGGTCTGCACCATGAGCTACAGAAGAACCTGTGCTCCAGTAAGCACCTCCTCCCTGCCTTCTGCACTGACCTTGGGGTCTGCAGGGCTGTTCCTCTCACATATTCTCATTCCTTCCTCAGGCGGCAATTGCTCCTGTGCAGTAACTTTTCCTCCTTAAATTTGTTATCCAGGGGCATTGCTAACATTGCTCATGGGCTCAGCCTTGAGCAGCTGTGGATCTGCCTTTGATCCAGCTGCACTGGCTCCACTGAATATGGAGGAAGCTTCTGGCAGCTTCTCACAGAAACCACCCCTGCAGCCCCTTCTCCCTCCACTACCAAAACCTTGCCATAGGAACCCAATACACAACTTGATACAGTATATTTTTTAAATACAACAAACTTTTGCCAAAGTTTAAGCGTGTCGACAGCACTGTTCTTTCTCACAGAAGTATTTCACCTGGCTGTATTTATAAAAGAAAATGAAATTGCGTATCATACTCCCATTTGAAATTTGGACTTACTAACTGCAAATAAAAACGAGTAAAATGCATTTCTCTTTTTTCCCAGCTTTACTCTGCATTTGACAAAGCACTGAGGATGCTAGTTGCATAGTTTGAATTGCTTCTTTCACCTCATCTTATGATACTCCAACATTATTTAGAGGAAGTCTTTCATCAGACTGTGCCAGAGAGGACCAAGATCAGCAGGAAAGCTAAAGCTGAAAAGGAAGCAGGCATGCATATGAGTGAAGAAGAGGGAAAATAAAACACAGAAAAGTGCATGCTTTTGCTCTCAAAATTATTAGTTGCATCATCATCAATCACATCAGTAGAAAAAAACCTCTTCTAATATAGCAAAATACCATACGCTTTCTTAAATTCACTGCACATGTAAGAGTTCAGGATGCTCTACAGAATTGTGAACTTTTTAATTTGTTAATACTAGAACACAAAAAAAGTTCATCATATTTATTCTTAGCGATTGCACAGAAGTATATAGCACAGTCAAGACTGCTACATTTTCCCGATGCAGAGGAGTATCTCTTTAGAAACTGAAGTACAATAAAGTTAAAAGACATGATTTTATTTATAAAAGATCCACCTAATAATTTAGCAACATTATTTTTCATGTTTCCTAAAAATATTACAAACTAATTCCAATGCCAGTAAACATTTTGCAAATAAGGGGAAGTGTGGAAAACACTTCAGGGAAGGAACGTGGAGTGAGAAAATGCATACAATCAAGAAGCAGATGTGGGGCATCATATCATGACACAGCTCTCTTATCTCTCAAAATACAAAAAAGTCAAATTAACGCACCTACAACTACACCCTGATGGGATCTTTTATAGTCTCCAGACCTACATTTTGCATCTCAAATATTTTCCCTCTTCAAGCGTGATGTGAATCTTAAAATCTGTCCTTTCTTTCACCTTCAGGTTTACACATACTTTTCCATTTTTGTAGTTCCTGAGAATCATTTATCTTCCATACTTCAGCAAAGGACTTCAGCTTTTTTCTGGTGAGGGAAAAAAAACCCAAAACCATACATTACTCAAAATGCTGACATATTTTTAAATTAAGCACATCAAACATTAAAAGCCCTACAGTCATCCACAAAATTTTAATACAAAGTCAAATATACCAGTTTGCATAGCCCAAAATGTTATGTGAACTTTAAACCATCGGTTAATATTTCCCAATATACATATTCTAGTTCTAGGACAGTCAACACTTTAATTTTATAACTAACTTGCAGTACCAGAAACATTGATAAGATGAAATAAAACACTGAGCAAGAGTAAGTCATTAAAGGAAACAAATAGCCTGTAGTTTGCACAGTTTAATTTCCAGCATTCAGTTCCCACAAATTTGCACTTGCAGAATCATAAAGCGATAACACATTTTCAAAATAAATGAGTACACACATCCTTCCTGTTTCCTTTTTAATATTTTTTGATTTAAGAAGGATTCATAAGAGCTGTGACAAATAACAAGACATTTAAAATGGTTTAACCCACGTTCATGATGACAAAAGATGTCAAGACTGTATGGAATTACCCAATGAATTTTCTCAAATAATATGAAAGTGATTTATAAAAATACGACAATGCAGCTGGCCTGTGGGTACTGTGACAGCACAAGTGTACTGCTATAAACAAGTCTAATACTTTGACATTTAAATCGCATTATGGCAGTAAGTGAAAATAAACAGGAATGCATAAGAAAAAAATATTACTACAATGACCTACATAGGAGAACTGGAAAAATGAAGAATTAAGTAATACAATAATTTATGCACTGTGAAATTATCAGACACATTTGATATTGTTTTTTTTTTTTATCTGACTTGAGCTCTTAAGGTCTATATTGCTAGAATCATATACAATCATAGAACAGTTAAGGTTGGAAGGGACCTTGAAGCTCATTCAGTTCCAAGCCCCTGCCACAGGCAGAGACAATTTCCACGAGACCAGGTTGCTCTAAGTCCTGTCCAACCCAGCATTGAACACTGCCAGGGATGGGGCGGCCACTGCTTCCCTGGGCAACCTGTGCTATGAATGACAGAATCATAGAACAGTTAGGGTTGGAAAGGACCTTAAGATCATTTAGTTCCAACCCCCCTTTCACGGGCAGGGACACCTCCCACTAAACCATGTCACTCAAGGCTCTGCCCAACCTGGCCTTGAACACCGCCAGGGATGGAGCATTCACAACTTCCCTGGGCAACCCACTGATAGATGATCTATGAATGACAGATCTTCGATCTATGATCTATGAATGACAGATGCTTGAAGTTCCCTCCAAATTGCATACAAGATGTCCACAGTGAATAACTTGGTACAAGTCAAATCTGATGAATTAGGTGGTGCTGTATGGTGGTTGCTGCACATCCCCGACCCCCTGACGTGACATAGCACTGTTGCTTATCAAAGACGGAGGCAAAACCGTCCCAACTTCAGATGGGTACTTTGGTCTGGCAAGCAAAGCAGCAGTGTCAAGGCCGTTATTCTACCAGTTACTGCCAGAATCAAGGACTTCCCTTTCTTCTAACTCTCACCCTTTCCTCTTCAGGTAGTGATACCTATTCACATGTAACATTTGAACTTGCATGCTATCAACTGGAGAAAGAATGACGTTTCAGTTGGATCAGATCCCTGACCTGGTCTGTTCTATGGTCATGCAAAAGCCAGCCCTGTCACCATGGAGAAAAGAGTAGGGAGCACCCTCCTGCAGGAGATAGGGAGCCTGCTCCAGCTTGTTCTCCCCAGTACCTGTGATACCCCTATAGATCGGGTGGCAGCAGCAGGGGCATCCAGCCTTAGTGTTACGTGAGGATAAAGGACTCACCACAGCTTTAGGTTATTTATGCCTTTTCACTTTAAAAATGCAAGTAGATTACATACTGAAAGCTAAAACATAGATGGCTGCTTACATATTCAAAAGCTAATAAAAGGGACACAATTAAGGCCTATAATTAAGACTGCCCAGTCAGCCCTCACTCTAGCCTTCTCTGTGCACTGTCTGGTAACTACATCATCACATACTATTTTTATTGTTGATAGGTTTTGTGTGCAATTAACTCCCTTTTTAGCAATGGAGACACACTAGAACTCTATTTGTGCCCTGTAAAAGTAATATGATAGCATCATTTCCATAGGAGATAAACCAAAGGCACATACTATACTATTTCACATCTTCATTTTATTACACGGTAACTCTGGCCTTCCAGCTCATACTCTCATCTTTCTGAACAATTTTTTCTTGATTTTAGAACCCTAGTTGTCCTGTAACAAGAGAGTTAATAAATTGCTAGTAATTTGTTGTTTTACTTTTGTCAATCATGGAATATTATTTCCATATAAAACACGAACTACCACATTATTTTTTCCCATAAATTGTCATTTATCTTCAAATAGAGTATTTTTATTTTGCTTTCTTAAAAGGGGATAAAATCTGGTGTTCAATGCTAAGCACAGTTAAGTTTCAAAATAACTGCCTGCACCTACAAATATTTAAAATTTTCTCATACGAAATCATTCTGTCAGGATTAGTTACAGCCATCAGACAATAAAGATCCTCATTTCTTATATGCCTAAAGGGCTATCTGAATTTTGCCGATATGACTGCCACTGAAAATAGTAACAACAAAATACTGTAAATTAATATAAATACTAGCATATATTTACATCTAAACTGTGTACATGATGTTACAGGTTTTATAAAGATGATCCTATTTTATACACATGGGAATTTTTATAACTAATCTAATATATAGGGTACATATGGCCCTAAATGAAAATTGGTTATCAGAAAAGTAACAAAATCCTAGACTTTCAGGAAAATTTTGTGTGTTTGGGGAGCAATCAAAGCACATTTTATATATATATTTTGTGCGTATATATATATATATATATATACACATATATATGAAAGTTAAGAAGAATATCCACATTCCCTTCTACACTTTGTGGTTTTTTTTAAGTTTTTCAAGTTTTTTTTTCAAGTTCTAAAGTGACTAACATACTTTCTAAATTAAACCATTAATATTTTCACTGTCACTGGTGTGAACAGAAGCAGGATGTATTTGAAATTCGTCTTTCTGAAAACAGTGATAATACATAACTGAAATTGTATTTTTCTACTGTTTGCTGTAAGAAAATAAAAAATAGTTTATTCCTAATGTTAGCTCAATATGCGTTTACTTTTTATAATTTTGTCTTAGAGGGCAGCAATTAACCTCTAACATCAGAGCTAACTATAAAGTTTTGATTCAAATAGATACCACCATTTCCTCAATATCTTTGTCAGTTTTGTTTTAGTTTCTTCCTTGAAGGATAAGAGGATATCACAAGAAGCTCTTACTACTCTTCTTTTTAATCACACTGTGAGAAATGCTCTTTGATTCATAGCTGGTTTCATTGGGGGGGAGGGGAGGGGAGTAAATCACAATCTTTCTGACCTTTTCATATTCACTGTCCCCTCCAACTCCTTTGATTTGTGAGCTGCCTTCTTCAAGATTTCTTCAGGAATATCTGCCAGTTTGGCAACATTTAGTCCATAACTCCTTGCAGAGACTCCTTTCGTTATCTGATAAAGGAAAGTGATAAATTCAGGATTCTCTTCATCTTCAGATCCTAAAAAAAAAATAAAGCCAAAATCAAAACCTCCTCTATTAGGTCAATAAAACATAAGAGACCAAAGACTAAAATATCAAAGTCTTTCATTCATGCTTCTTGTGTGATTTATTCCATTGAAGAAATATGGATGAAAAATACTTCCGTGAGACTACAAATGTTACCTACCCATTGTGACACTGAAGAAATACCTCTACTACGCTATTACCTGATGTCATAATCAAGCAGACTGTGTGTGTCCAACTTAGAATTTCTGTATGTTAAATTGATTAGTTGTGCTGTAGCTGGGATACTGCATCTCACTTTTGCTGAGCAATGATAAAATAAAGGAAGTGTCAGTAACTCCACAACTAAGAAGTCCGTAACTAAAGCACTACAAGAAGTTGCTGCCTGCCAGGAAGTTAGGAGCCACAAAAAAAAAACTAGGGTGATGGATCTTTCACTATGAATTCTTTCTACTCCATGACAATAAGACGGAAACATAAGAGCCATCACTATAAATAGGATGACTCCTCTTCCTCTTCAGACATCCTTGTTGCATCTCTGCACAATCTAGGCTTTGCGTAAAGTGCAGGAAAATTATGTGGTTACTCACTGCCATTCATTCTTCTGTTTTAAAAATGCAGGGTTTTGGAAACAATGGAGATTGTCATAAATGCTGATGACTCAAACTGACAATCCGAGTGATAAAAGCCAAAGATAGAAAAAAGCCCATGCCATAAAACTCACCTTAAATAAAACAAAACATTAAGACATAAGGAGTTAAAGTTACAGGGAGAGTAAGAAACACAGATGTGTTGTTGCTTGCAGGCTGTGGTACTACACCAGTTGTGATTTCTGTAACAAAACAGTGAAGAATACATATGGCCAGAAGGTTCAGGTCACCTAACACTGAAAGCAGAAACGCTGAGGCAGCACATTGAAACACAAAGTATGGGGTTTCACACAGTAGTTAAGGAATAGTAAGTATTGTGTGTTCATAACATTTCAATTGCCTGAGCGTATCACAGGCCCACAGTTAATGAACAGAGCTCTGAGAGAAAAAGGACATGCGGATGTTTAGTAAAGTGATGCTCTTAGCTGGGAACATCAGTGTGGCCAGGCAGTGCTCACCTAAACACGGTATTACTTTGAACTACCTGTGCTCAAAGTTAACACACATTTGAGGGATCCCCACCTCTAACATTAGGCTTCTATTTGGCTTCCTCTAGGCCAAGCCCTAAATTTTTAATTAACTCTCCAAAAAACATTTTTAAAGTGATAGATTACATATTTAAACAGATTTAAGTGGCATATACTCAACTGATTATTTACAGTATTAAGAATGAATTAGGGGGGAGATTAATAGGAAATATCATGCCAATTCTTAAAAAGATTCTCAGAATGAGTCAGCGAACAGACCATTCCTAGGCAAAGTGGGAAAACTAGAGTAAGCAGAATTATCAAACACCTGACTAAACCTGTTATACTAACAGAAAAAAAAAAAAGGAAAAAAAAAAAAAAGCAGTAGTTTATATGGAGAGGAATCCTACATCAAAAATCTGTTATAAGTTTGGAAGCCACATGAGTCATAATAAGTAAGAGAGATCCAGTACATAAACCATGAGGGATTTACAAAAGGCTTTTGACAAGTCAAAAAGCATCAAATGCTATTCTGAACTGAGCATCCATAATCTAAAAGGCAGGCCTTTGCATTCGTAAATAATAGGTTAAATGACAGGAAACAGGAGGTAACAGTCAGTTCTTCAGTTCTCACTAAGAAGGGTGATCATCATTGCAGTTAGAGTTGTTCAACAAACCCATTATCAAACAAGAAAAAGAGCTAAGCAGTAAGCTAACAAACTTTAATGAAAATACTAACTACTTAAGAGCAACAGTACAAGAAGAAATGCTGTAACTCTTCTGCTTGGTAAACCCAGAACTGAATGGGATTATGATAAGAAATCTAAAACAAATACATATGGCATAGACAGGATGAACAGAAATTGTTCCTCCTCCTCTTCTAATTCAAGAACTGAGACCATCAAGTGAAGTTATATGTTGTTTTAAGAGTTTGGAAACAAACAAAAGGCGGTTCTTCGCACAATGTAGTGTTAAATTTTGAGCATCTTGACACAGTAGGATGAAGAGGCTAAAAGTACGTAAAGATAGGAAAACTAGACAACCTTACTGAAATGAAATCCACTGAACATACTAAAGAACAGAAAACACACGTAGCTCTTGAAACCGCCTAAATAGCAAACATTTGCAGACAGCAAGATCTTTTAGAAAAGAGTTGCCATATGTTTGATCCCTAATCCCTCCGTACCTAATCCTTTGTATTTGGCTTCTGTGAAAAGCCAGGACACTAGGTTGGGTGAATCTTTTATCTGACGAGTCTCAGTCATCCTTATGCTTAATACTGAAGAGAAATGGTCAGTTTTCAAGCCCCCTCCAAATGTGTGTATAGACTGATACTCTAGAGTTCGAATGTGCTACTTACACATTGAGTTTTAAATTACTGTAACAATTTTACAGTTTCTGCTTATAGCTACAGTAGCAGAATCTCAGAAGGATTTATACTGTACCTTTTTGTTCAGCACTTTCCCCCTCATTCACCAGGAAAGCCATGTGGTAATTGCCAACTCTCTCTGGATACACCTTCTCTAGCTCACAAACTGATGGATAGTGAGTGACAAACAGTGTCAATGATTCCACCTACAACAATGTAATAATGTACATAAGAAGGTTTGGCTTTGATTTTTTTTTTTTTAAAACAGTGCAATGTATCATATCCGTTTCTTTGAGTTTATAATATGCCACACTCCTACAAGGAAATACACACCATGTCAATGTCAGCCTATCATAAAACAGGCTGAAAAAGCGTTCACAAGCATGTGTCAGATTGAACACTTACATCTCTAATAAAATGTTCAAGTGTAGCATAAGCAATAGCAATTCCATCATGTGTGCTAGTTCCCCTTCCCAATTCATCCAAAATTACTAGTGATCTTGAAGTTGCTTTTCTTATTATCTCAGCAGTATCTGTCAGCTCTTCCATAAAGGTACTTCGGCCTTTGTAAATGTTGTCGGCTGCACCCATTCTGCATTGAAATACAAACCACATCAGTTTATTAAGTGCAAATAAATGCCAGATAATGTTGGGGAAAAAAAAATAATACTTTTTTTTTTTTTTAATAGATCTCTTGTTGCTGCTCCAAGCAGAGCAGAAAACACTCTGCTCCAAACAGGCAGAACATTCACCTTCTAGAACAAGCTACTGCTTAGGGAAAAAAGCAACAACAGCACATGTTCCAGATGTGAGGGTATTCTAAAAGACGGAAGGAACTACTCATGTACCATTAAGTAAGGGCTTGCATGCATTCTCCAAGACAAAAGTGTATACTGACCCATGGGCATCTGGGGGAGACTAGGCTGTAGGGACAGCAGAGAATTTGTCTGGGCCATCAGTAATCTAGTCCCATTGTAAAACCATAGACAGAATCTCAGCATTCCACGTCAACTACAGAAATTGGAGGAAAAATAAGAGGTAGACAAGGGTGTGTTTCCTGGCATGCAATTCTTCCACTTCGACAAACAGTACAAGGCAGCCTGCTTTTCCTTAAAAAGGACCCTAGGAATTTAGACCAGTCAGCTCAAGACAAGGATTCCAGCAAAGGCAGCCATGAAAATTAATTTTACTTTCTTACCACTTAGTTTGGCTATCCACAATTTGTATATTTCTCAAATGCTAAGAACACCTGAAAGTATGATATACTAGCATTTCCATGTAGAGACAACAGAGTATCCGCGTAGACTAATTTAGAGTATCTGTGCATCCAAACAGGCACAGTGGTTAGTTCCTTCCGTTGCAGTTTTCACCTCAGAAACCTGTTGGTAATTCACCCTGTTTTTCCTTTTATTTTGCATCTTTCCTTAAATACTCAGTTAATATGCACTCTACCTGAAGAAAGAAAATTTCCTTTTTCCACATATGCTTTTCAGTTACATTAATCACGTAACAGTCTCACTTCCCAGGTAAGTTATCACTACCAAGACTAGGACTGTAAAAACGTGTTTCTTCATTGTCATCAGCTTAATAATATAGTTACATACAAGCCACACTGATTTAAAGAAAATTGACTCACCAGCTTAGCATATCACATTTTCAATTATAACAGCTGGCCACAACAGTATTTAAAGCCAATCAAAACCTTTAAAGATAATCCCAGTATAGGTTTTTTTCTCTCTTTCAGTGCATCTCTTTCTAATACAATGGTTTCTGTTGCCTACAGAAGATAGCAAGATACTCATCATTTTATGAGGATCTTACGTTTGTCAAGAGGAACTGACTACCAATACCAAAAGTTAGCAGCAAGACCCAGTACAACTACGATTTCTATATATTCTCTGTCTCCCACCCTGGAAATTCGGTATGGTGCCACACATATTGTCACAATATGCAAATTTTCAATTATAAATGAACTAATTTTGTTTGGAGATGGGCATTATGATACCACTGACTGCTTTTATTTCATAGAGCATGTGTTGACTCATATACCTAGGAGTATACCTACTGTTTACACACACACAGCAGGTATACTCCCACATACCCTGGAAGAAAGGTGATTTTGCACATAAGCTAAACATTACATGATTTTCACTGAATTAAATATGTAATTCAGGATATTGAGGCATTGTGAAACTAACATTTTATTAAACCACTTACTACTGTAATAATTTTAAGTGCTGGGTAAGAACTATGAACAGACTGCTGAATTTCTCAGTGTCCCCAACACCCACCAGCACCCCACCTGGTTTGCTTCAGCCGCACTGTGATACTGTAAAATCAAACAATCCCCTTTTTATCTCAATATTGAACAGATACACAAAGAACAATATAACTGCAATCTACTTTTAACATTATTAACTCCATGAGAACAACAAATACTGTTTATGACTGAACAATCTCTGGCTTCATAATGGGCAACTCTAACCCTAGCTTCTGACCCTAGGATTGTTAGTATTATTACTTTATCATTTTTATTTGGCTTTTCATTACAGAGACAGCTTCTAACAAGCTATTTTGCACCTATGATGATTACATTTAAAGAGTTCTCAGTTCTATTTTTTTCTTGGATTGCATCATTTCCACAGAGTCCTCAAAAGCATTTAGTCATTTTGCATCTGATCTGCATTCACAAAAATAATAATCAGAACTTCTTCACTAAATGCTCAAACAGAAGCGAGTATCATCTTTCTCTTGTCAACAACAGCTGCAAAGAAGCCTTTCTTTCAAGTATCTTAAAACATTCAAGTCCAACTCAGGCTTATCTACAGATTTAAGAAAATTATGTATTTTTAATTAAAATGTCATAAAACCTCTTAAATGACATCCTTTGGAAACAGGTAGAATTGTTCTTTCTGCCGCTGTCTTTGACTCTAGGAGAATCACACTTGTTTTTCAAACTTATGTGATAAGCAGTATTATTCAAGAAACAAGAATAACTATTTTAATGTGGATGACTGCACTGATAAAACTAACAGTTAACATGCAGGAAAGCACTGCTCCTGAGCTGTATGCTTTAATATTCCTGATACAAGAAAAATTTTTAGTCAAAACACCTATTGTTTAAACAATCATTTTGTTTCCGTTTGAAACAGCTTTACATAATTTTCACTGAATTAATTATATAATTCAGGATATTGAGTTACATATCTGATGTAATTCATTACAACCAGACTTCTACACAATTCAATGGCTTTCAATTTACATTTTAATGTAGATTCCCTCATAAATTTTTTTATACATCAAAACATCAAACTTTTTCTTATAATATTCTGCCCACGAGAAGCATGCAGACATCCAATGTGAAGAATGCCTCTTCAAGTGCTGCCAAGAGATCCATCACTCTTCAGCAAATGCAACTTGGCTGGAAACTACTTGTAATAATGTCTCTTTGACAGCCAACCAAGTATCATAAAATTAAAAGCTCTTCATCCTATGATGTTCAACACATTCATTACGTAAAGAAAAAAAGGGCGGTGGGGGAGAAAAAGGAGGCATTATCTCTTTTCAGTGCTAGGTTTCAAGTGCTAAAGATTCATGTCTACAGCCTCAGAAAAAGCAATAGGTAGGTAATGTTTTCAGAAAGGTAAGTTAGGTTTCAGGAGGATAAGTCAGGTGATATGGAGCAGTAGCTAGCTTTATGCAAACCAGCTGGTGCTACATGCTAAACCTGTATGTGATTCCTTAGAGAAAAAGAAATTTCTTTATTCTGCAATATTATTCCAGATTTGAATGCAAGCAAGAAATCTGAAGAAAGCAGCATGAAATCTGGAGAGGAGCTTTTGACAAGGGCCTGTAGGGACAGGGCGAGGGAGAATGGCTTTAACCTGACAGAGGGGAGATTGAGATGAGCTCTTAGGAAGTTCTTCCTGTGAGGGCCCTGGCACAGGTTGCCGAGAGAAGCTGTGGCTGCCCCATCCCTGGAAGTGTTCAAGGCCAGGTTGGACGGGCCTTGGAGCAACTTGGTTTAGCAGAAGGTGTCCCTGCCTGTGGCAGGGGGTTAGAACTGGATGAGCCTTAAGGTCCCTTCCAACCAAACAAGATTCTGTTAAATGGTTGGGTTTTTAACCTGCTCTCCCGAGTCAAGACATGCACACAGTACTGACCTTTTCCAATGCAAATGTACCATAGAATCATAGAATATACAATAGGTAAAAATGAATGAGAAATCCAAAAGCTTATAGTTAGGGCTTTTTTCCATGCTACCTTTCAAAAGAAATTGTCTAACATGTTGCTGTTAAGTTGCTTTGGTTATAAAATTTGAGAGCACTGTGTGGAACTCAGGTATTTTAGTATTCTTTTATGTTACTGTGAATCACTCACACTCCTTGTGAAAATGACCAAGTAGCTCAAGAGCTCTCAGTAGCAGCAAAAAAACAACTACACAGCATGAAACAAATCCTAAAAACAAGACTGCAAAACCATTTGATAAAGCCTTAATCTCATACAGTTGTTAACATCCTGATGCTATTTAGGAAGTCCTAGTTTAGAGAACATTATCACTGAAAAGAAACAAATTAAATTTACAATTTTTCACCTTGATTTTAGAAACACACATTGACTATAGAAGTTCATCTAAAACACTTCCTGGAGAAATCAAACATACTGCCTGTTACAGAAGAATAAACCTAATTAGCATAGAGCCTCTACACACTGCCTTTGCAGTTCTCAAGAGAAGGCATTTAAGTTTCCAGATAGGGTTTGCCTTCCAGATGTGAAGCCAGAATTCATCTCAGAATGTAGTCATAGTCAATTTATTTATTCATCAAGAGCAATTAACACTGAAAGAAAATTACTCTTTTCCCTAAGAATATATTAAATTTAAGGTGCAAAGCACCTAGCTCTGAGCACCAACAACTAAGACATCCCTTCTGTGATTCAAAGAGAACACTAAGAAAAACACACAATAAATTGTAATGTGATTTTACAATTCCACTCGCTCCCTCTCACACAAAACCCTTCAAAATGTCATTCCAAGTATCACTGTACTTGAAAATAAGTTATTTAAATTAAAATAACCAGTTTGAAAAAAAAAAAAAAAAAGATTAGATGGGCTCTTGTCTTATAGTTTATGCCTTTTCTTGCACGGGACTGCTCCTTACAACGTCTTTTTGATAACAATGTATGGTTCACATTTTTTCAAAAGATCTCTTAACAACTGGTTTACATCCTTTTATTTTTTTGCAGAAAACACTCTTCCCAGCTGAGGTTTCATCTGGTCTCTGCAGAAAACAGAAGTATGAGCCTTAACTGAAGACAATGTTTATGAGAACAGAAAAACTTACTGCTCCTGCCATGAAGGGAAGAACAGTAACGCAATTTCATTTCAAAACTTAGGCAAATTTTCTCCCATTGAATTGAGTAATTGACTGCATTAAGCACCTAGCAAACACCACTGCGAATTGCTCTGCCAAACAAATGAAAATGGGCATCCTAAACAGAGGTCTGTCAGGCTGACCACTGCATGTCCTCTCCTCTGGAGCCCCAAGAATCCCAATACCTTTAACCAGAACAACTACTCAGTTGTACTCGCAA